AGATGCGAGCAGCTAAACACATCAATGAAGGGAGCAGATCAACATATTGCAAATAGACAGGCAAGAAACACTAATAAACAACTTTATACATAGAGAATTATGAGCAGACACGAGCTAAGCATATAGCGAATCAAATACGAGCATATCAAAGACAACGCGCAAGCAGCACAAGTACAGACTCGTGTTTAACACAATTGAAGGGATCAGATACGAGGATCAAGAACATCGATCTCACAGGAATCAATCACAGGAAAATCAAGGAATAACAAGGATAAACGATTGAATCAAACGACCAATCATGAACCACAGAAAACACTAACATGTCGATCTTAGACAACGCAAGCAGGCAAATCGCGAACAGGAAATCGAAAGTCGAGAGAAGCAAAAGTCACGATCCACAACACGTCGCTGAGAGAAAAAGAACCTCACCTTGTTACCTGCCTCGATTTGCTATCATGCAGAAGAAGTCCCGACTTAATATCTCTCAAAACAAAAGGCTCGACTTGATATTTCACAGGATAAAAGTCTCGACTTGATTTCTCGTAAAATAGGAATCTCGACTTGTTACCTCGCAAAATAGAGATCACGATTAGAATATCATGAGTAACACATCAGTGACGGGAAAGAAATCGCGACTCGCACGTCGCTAATTAAGAGCCGATTCGGATAAAATAACGAACACGACCTGTACGAGAACAAGGAAAAACTTACACATTGGGAGGAAACTCGATGTATCGGTGAGGAGAAATTGTAACTAGCCGCGACTAGCACATCGCAAGTCGAGTAGAACATTGATTGGCCAGTGAAGAAAATCCGTGAAAATAGGGACTAACCCGTAAGTGCAAATCGCGACTAGCGAGTCGTGACCAGCACCTCATAGCGATGAATAGCGACGAACCTCCGAAAATTTAAGCAAAAAATCGCGAGGCCGCGACCAAGGCATCTCGACTTGTGGAAAATGACGAGCTGTAGAAAATCGACTGTCAATCGATGAAATCGCCACTTTCAACTCACAGTGAAAAATCGGACTCAACTCGCAGTGGAAAACCACGACCAAAAGAAGAAATCACGATTAACCATCGCGAATTGGGGAAAAATCGCAAGCAATAACAAATCACGATTGCGCGACTAGGATTAAGGGAATCGAAAATTAGGAAGAAATCCATGAGTGAAATCGCAAGCACGAGCTGGGAAAAATTCGTGACCGAAATTGCGAGATCGAGAGCTTGAGAAATTGAGAAAATCGAGACCCAGCCTGAAATTCATGAACCAAAAATCGATTCGAAATCGCGAG